CTGTGTCTTCTGGAGCAGGAAGATGGTGGCAGTTATTTATCATTATTTGTGTAAGTAATTCCCTAATAAATACCTATTAATCTTTATGATTTAAGTTTACAATTTAAAACAATAAATTCCTTAGTAGATACCACAGGATTATTTAAAAATCATACTCACGTGAAAAGAACTCTCATTATAGCTAAATTCTTCAATTAAGAGAGTTGACAAAACTATCACAGATAAAGTACACAAGAACAAAAGATAATCATTTTATGTTAAATTCTCACTGATGATCCTTGAAAGAGTTATTACATGAACAGTTAAATGCCTTAATTAACATGGAATTTTGTATTAATATACATTTTAAACTTAAAAAACTTTCCAACAAAATGTTTAAAATATTTGTAACTTAAATTCCATTTGCCACTGCACCAAAACCTTCTTTAGTTTGAATATATGTGGGTGAAATTAATGTGAACTAATAGTTATGGCTTTTCCTATCAACAGTCTCACTACTACAAATCTACTGTTATTAATATTTTCTGGTAGTACACATAGTATTTACAGCTTAGCTGCAGCTATTGAGATTAAAGATATTCATTAAGTAGTACATAGTACTTTATGATAGGTCCATGGCGATTTATGCCAAGCCTCCAGTTCCTCTCACCTGCTCTTATGTGTTGTGGAGGGGTCCTGGGGAAGATTAATGGAGCTGAGAAGAGAAATATCATGTCAACTGCTAGCAATATAATTTTCTATAAAAAAGTATTCTTTGAGCCTCGTTTGCTCCTCCACAAAATCTGAGAGTAACATCAAGTTTGATGGAACATATTCAGTTCAATGTGTGTGGATAACAAACAACAGAGTACCTGGATCTTGGAAATAATACTGCTTATGATATGTTTAGGAGTCAATTCATCTGTTAATGTTTTACTCTTTTGGATCATTATCTGATTACCACTGCTTTAAAAGTTCTGGACACAGTAGACTCTCCACTTCTTTTTTATTATATTTTCGACAGATGGAAAATTTCTATTCTATTTTACTTGAGATATAGTCACCTAAATAATGGCCATTAAAATATTATAATTAACAATGGAATATTGCACAGCCACCAAAAGTAACACATGTTTAGCACTGTTTCAGAAAGTCCTCCTTATTCATCTATATTTATGTAGTTTCTCTATTTTTTTCTTTTTGCATTATCAGAGTTTCAGATCACGCATTAAAATTTTTATTCAATGTTATTTGATTTGTATATAGTTCTAGAAATACAGAATAATTTCCTTTTCCTAAATTTGAATATTCAGGATTGTCATCAAAATGTTTTGCAATTTTTTCCATGTGATTTTTACACCTTTGCCAAACATTGGGTTACTATACATGTGTAGATTATTTTCTGAGCCTTATGATCTATGCTACTGGCATATGTGTCTGTCATATCAATACCTAAACGTACTCATTTTTTACCAGATTAAATAGATATTAATTACAATTAGCTGGCAAGCATAAAATATATGAAAGTAAAGAGTTGACATCTAGGAACTGCTTGTCCTCAATTCTGAAGCTCTGCAGAAAATAATTACCAAGAAAATCTTCAACATTATTTATAAAAACAATCAATTTAGGCTTCACGATACACAACTAAGGTTTAGACAGATTATTATGGCAGCAACAATTAATAGTCATCTTTAAAAATAACTGATCCTGTGTCCTACTAAATTCAATTATAAGAATAAAATTACTTATTACATTTTAAAAATCAGAATGGATAACACTAAAGGCATTAGACTTCTTAAGGGCAAAATAATTAAAATTGATAGGATAATTCTATAATTTCTTTGGATGTTAAAAATTTAATCTCTCTGGATAGCTCTCAACATCACCTTATTTTAGGAACTACCATTCTGGGAAGGCTCATACATTTTTATTCTGAAATCTAAATTTAAATTAACAGACAGATATGGGGTTGGTGGGGGGCAGGGGAAGAGATGAGGGAGAGGAACTGGGATTGACATGTAAAACAAGCTTGCTTCTAATTTAAATTTAAAAAATAGGAAAAACGAAACAAAAACAGATAGTCGGACAGAAAATAGAAAGAACTCTTTGTCTTTATACTGAAGCATCTGTCAATGATTTAACGAGCACTGAGCAGATATGTTTCTGCTAAAACATTTTTTAATAAATGTTTTTTATCAGTAGATACAAGATGGCTGTTAATAGAAATTAGTGAGCAACTTCTTGCTAAGTAGACTATGAACTTTCTAATGTCATATGAATGTATTATAAAATTAATTTTAGATGTTTTTCTGATCAAACTCATAATTTAACTCTATTATAAGTTCTTACAAACTGCTAAAATGAAGAAACTATTTAAAAATAATTTCTTAGAACTAAGATACAGTTGAAAAAACTGATAGCATTTAATTCCACGATATCTGTCATCAAAAGCATCTAAATTTTTATGTTATTTCAGGTTATAATTTGTGTAGACTACCAAATATGGCAACATTAATTCTTTTCATCATCAATAGTCTCATTTTATTCCCTGAGAAGGTACTATTTCCTTAGTCAAGTACAAAGTGATGTGTTTTCTACAATGCGATATGGATGATAGAGAATGATCTCTTGACTCTGAAATGCAAGCATGAATGCAAATGATTTTTCTTTGTTAATGATATCATTTGAGCAGTGCTTGTATGGTGTTGTTTAAAAGTTGATTTCTGTTTAATCATTTATAAGATAGATAATAGTTTAAAGTTGAAAGGAGCTATGCAGTATAGTTTAAGACTAGAATATAGAAAAGAACCCTTGCCAAACAACAGAGATATGAGCATTTATAATTAAGAAAATATAATAGCAAAGTTGAAAAATACTATTAATATAAAGTGCAATTAAAAGAAAATAAATGGCTAATATGCAGATAAAGGGGTATCTAGATTATCTAGAAAGAAAAAAATATCATACCATGTTGACTAAATTACCAAATCTAATGTATTTCAGTGATATTTGGAGACAATATCTACCATTAATGATAACTATGTATGTATGTAATTACATAGAAAAATAGGTGATTTCCACTTTATTTTTCTTAGTTCATTATGAGGTTCATAGGGAGAGTTTTATTATATGTTTCCCTCCCCTATGATTTCAAGATCCACCCCTTTCCCTGCCACCCCAGCGTTTTGTCCTGATTTTTGTTTTTTCTTTCTTCAAGACTGATATATGCTTTCTAAATATTCTTGGATGTATGCCATCTGTTAGAGAGGGGTTGGCTTGTCAAAGGCTACACTCTAAGAGAAAACTGACCCCTCCTTTTGTAGTAACTAATAATTGCCAGTGACTCCTCAGTTAGTAAAGGGGTTATGTGGCCTCCTTTCTCCATGCTTTGATTTGGTATAATTTTGGCTTGTGCAGATTTTGTACACAGTGTCCTAACCACTATCAGCTCGCATGCTGTGTCCAGAGATATTGTTTCCTTGTTATCCACCACTCTGACTGTTACACTCTTTCTTTTTTCTCTTTGGCAATGATATTGAGCCTTGGAGACATGTGGGAGAGCAGTATATACATTTCAGTTAGGACTAGACATTCTGCAGTCTTTAGTCTCAGCATCTTAGCCAGTTATAGATCTCTAGGTTAATCACCATTTCCTACAAATATAAGCTTCCCAGTTGAAAGATGGGAAATAGATTGATCTATAGGTATAATGATAAGCTGAGTTGGTTTAATTCTATGTCTCTTCAGCAGCATAGGCTCCTATGCTAGACATAGGTGCTTAGTCCAACAATGGTGCCATCTGTGAGTTTTGTCTTGTAGAGTCAGACTTAAAAGAACCAGAAAATAGTTAGTCAATCCCACAGTGTCTGCACCACTATAATATGAATGGTTATAAGTCTTGCCATGCCAATCATTATAGCTTGCAGGATTTATAGCTATGTATGACTTAGCATTCCTCTTTTTCTCTGGTAGTGTGCATGACACCTTCCAGCACAGTGAAAGCTAAGAGCAGGAGTTAAGCATTCTACCAGCTTGGTTTGTCATAAACACACACACACACACACACACACACACACACACACACACGCACACATATGTGTGTTTGTATATGTACACATGTATTTGTTTATTTTAGCAAGCGTTTATGATTCTATGGTAATAAGTGTCCATATATCTTTTGGACAGAATTTTAGGGTTATTAGCCATCTCCATATTCCTCCTCTAGCCTATGATCTGTTTTCATAGCTCAGGGTAACAACTCCTTTTCAGTTATTTCTTTTTAACCTTGTATACCACTGAGTTCCACTTTTCAAAACTCAATTGGTGCACTTTCTTTCTTTTGTGAACTCAGAAAGTAACTTTAACCATGAAGCTCATAATACCCATCATGTTTTAAAAGTATGCTGACATGAAATATTACTTAAACACATTGACATAAAATGTCAAATTTCTTTACTTTGTTATTAAATACATTCAAGTTGTAATGGAAATTAATCTGCACCAACAAAAGATATTCAGGCTTCAATCAGTTCACCACTGCTGTAGACATTGTATAGATTCCTTTTCTTTCCTTTTCTCCTTAGAAGACTCCAGAATCTTTGGTTTAATCTATGTGACTTATATAATAAAACGAATAAAATGCCAACAAGTTCTGATTGACGTACAGATGGAAGTTTCCCTTATGTTTCCTAAATCATGAATCCTGCACCTAAAGATAAGGGCTCATTGAAGAAGAAAGAAAACTTGCTAAAAGCCAGACGAACAGTAAATATGGTGTGAGTTTGTGTCCCGTGGAAATAAATGCCCATGAAATCCCATCAGCGTGACTGTTTACACAAGACTTAAGCAAGGATGTACTGATAGACGTGCTAACAGAAAAAGGAGAAGTTTGTGAGTCCTCATGTTAGAAAAGCAACAAAGGGAATTAGAGAATGCTGAGTGGGAGAAATGATTTTCCCCCAGAGAATTAGTCATCAGCCAGGTAAATCATTTCATTTTTAAAAATACTTCTATTCTCCTTACTTGTAAATGAAGATGCTTCTCCTTTCTTTGTCTTCTAAACTGCTGGGAGAACTTGCGAGTTTACTGAAAGTTCATCACAAACAGAAGATCAATTTGATGATGTTCTTCCCCTACAAACAGGAAAGTCAATATGAATTATCTTTCAGAGAAATTTATTTGTTACCTAAGGTATTTATGAGGAAAATAAATTATTTTATGATGTGGTGTGCTTTTTTATGTTATATTTTAAATTCAGTGATCACTTTCTCCTCTCTTTTTTTATAACACAGGTTCTTGTGCCTAAAAGTGATACAGTCCATTTTTTCCACTTTCACTAATGAAACCAGCAGTAGTTTTGAACCTCATGCTCCTTTGTCACACAGTTATAGCTCATCCTTTATAAAAGAAAATTAGAAAACTGCTGAGTGTTATAGATATTAATGGTTGTTAGAGACGTAAAATAGAAGGCTCTTGTCTGGACCATCGCTAAGCTTTTATGTCATTATTCATGAATGACTAATGCATTCAAAGAAGAGTGCTGATGTCCAAGGTTGGGAAGATAGACAGTGGAGAAACAGAGTGGCTAAGGAAGAGCCATTTGTCACAGGCAGGGATCTATTCTGCAATAAAGTATTTTAGCTGAACTTTAAAAAGAGAAACTTCCTTAACCATAAAGTTGTCCTTTGTTTCACATGGTCAAAGACTGTTGGGCTAAACAAAGTTTGGCTCACTGAATATTTTTTTCCAGCATGTAAATAGTTTAAAATTCAAGAAGTGAAGTTTACAGTTGTTTTTTCCTTAAAACATATGCGAATGGTCAGTCTATTAGTGTATTACCACTAGTTATTATTAACAGAAGTCAAATTTTCTATTTTCAGTTTAAAATGGAGCTTTGGTGAGGAATGTTACATGTCTGCTGGAGGAGAGTGTGTAGTTTCAGCTTGGTAATGTTACAGGCAATGCTGACTCATGTGATCACCCAAGGAATAGTGAAAAAGCACTACTGGAAAACAAGGAAAAGATGAGCAGACACAAAATAAGCTCCAAAGATAAAAAGAAATTATGAAGAAGACTCAGTTCTGAATATCTTTCATATGTGCCTTTCTTTCTATTTCTTTTTATTCAGTAATCACAAAATTATATTTAAAACTTAAAAAATGATATGATGCCTTCATTTATATCTTTAATATGAAACTGGTCTTTCTGGCTCCATCAAAATGTTTGTATTCTCCTTGATCTAACAGGATTTCAATGTCACACAGATGATGACATATATCAACCTTAGGATCTAAATATTATATAGACAGAGATATGTGAGAACTTAAATATGAAAATTGTTTATATGTTAGGCATGTACAAAACTAACACCTAAGTTTATTGATTCTGATATATCTTTGTTAGTTCTCAACTTACCGTAAACTCTTACAAATACTTGGTGAAACTAAGCATACAAAAAATCTTTGTATACTACGATGCCATCTTTAGCGGGTACTTTCTTATTCTTTTTCCAGATATCCTCTGAATATAGTAAAAATTCATTTGTGTATCACCCAATTATTTTCTATGATTCTGGATTCTTGGACCTGTAATGGAATTTTCACGTCCATCTGCAGACAACAATCACCCCTTTTCAGAGAAAATAAAGGAATTCAACTTCAATAAATAAGAAAAGTAGATTTTGCTGTGATAGGAGACCTACTAAAGTCTGTTCTATCTCATTTACCAGAGACAATTCTGAGGATTAATTTTAACTTCTGACTGTGCATTAAAAAACCCAGAGTATGACTGGGTCTTTGCCTAAAGTCCTGCTCTTGTTTTATTTCTCCCTGTTACCTGGTCCTTCAAGCATTTCTCAAATAATATGTTTCAAGCAAATAAAACACAGATTCTCCTGGCATTTTCTGTTTCTGAAAGTATGACCCAAGTCAACAGTCCCTGCCATCTCTCACACAATTCCTGGCTCCTCTTTGTCTTTGTCCCTGTCAGCTTTTCCTTCTGCTTCCAAAAATGCGTGACTTCTTAAGTACTCAGTCTTGGATAATTTTCTCATTCGCTCTATATGTCACCCATACAATTTTTCATCTATCTCTATCTAATGAGTGTTTCACCAGCTTAGAATTCACTTTGTGACTTAAAGAAAATATCTACCTACCGACAACTAGCATTTGGATGTCTGGAAAGGATACTCAGTACTTCTCAGATTGAAATAATTATCTAATTCTGTTCCAGTTCTACACATAATAAATATCTGCCAACCAATCTTCTGTTACAACAGAATACCAGAGACTGGGATACTTATTAAAAACAGGTATTTATGCTTTACAATTATGGTGGCTGAAAATTGCAATACCTAGGAGGATCCATGTGCTGTGTGCTCTTCTGTGATGAGATTAGATGGCATGGGACACCACATGACAAAGGAATAAGCATACAACCTTGAATATCTCTTTGTTTTCTCATAATATCATGTATTCTATCAATTGGATCCCACTTAAATGACTTGATAAAACACTAATATATAACAAACACCTAAGCTCCAAACACCAATATTGGGACTATGTTTCCAATCCACATTTTTTTGTGTGATGTATTTATACCACAGCAATGTTCACTTTGGAGTAAAATCAGTAGTGGAATTATTAGTCATACCCTTTGTTAAAAACAATATGTACATGATGATACCAAAAGAATATTCAAACTTTGTCAGAGCATTATAAGAACACTTTAACTGCCTGGCTTCAGGTATCTTAAGTTTTAAAATTCTTGATTAACACTCATAAAACAAAAACGAATGTAGGGAAAGGCATAGAGAATCACAGACAGAAGTAATATCATTTGGCTAAGGGTTTGGGGAGAAAAATACAAGATGCTCTCAATGCTGCTCAAAAATTCCTTGATCTTTGGGGTCTCTTTCTATATTTTTCTTCCTTTGTCTTCATGTCTTCCTTTTATTTTATCTTCTTCACTGGAGTGTAACTAATGAGTTGCATGTATGAGACTGTATAAATAATATTAAAAATAGCATGCTTTAATCTGATAATAATTCATTTTCAAAGTTTATTTTTAATTAAATATGTGTTAATCATAAAAATATGTCTAAGATTTCTTCAGAAATTAAGAGTACAAATACTTGCTGCTTGACATAAAACTTTGGTTTAGCAGGAGGATATAAATAATCTTTCAAACATTTGCACTAGTTTCATATTCATAGCCAATCTCTAAACTATGAGAATTACTCAGCTTCATTTTCATCAAGGCCATTTAGGTTTTATGCTCCATTCCTCATCTGTTTTTGTGACGTCATCTTTAACAGACTCAACCAAATTAAGTAACTCAGCTCTGTTCCCAATCATATAATGGTTTCTTAAAGATTATAATGTGAGTTCTAGAAATTTGACATGGTCTCTGGATTTTTTTATGCTCTGGCTTCTTTATCACTTAGTGTTTTATATCATTCACCCTAGCTTCTATCCAATGTGACAACCCAAGACTTAATTTCCTCAACTCTGTCCAGTATTTCTATGTAGGATTTCTCTATTGCACTCATGTTAAATGCCACTACCACAAAGACATTCTGTTGATATTGCTATTTTTTTCTCTAGGAATCAATCAGAGCTCCTATTAACTGTTCCAACTGTACACTGTGTTTTCCCCAATTTTTACAAATTCTAAATTTACCTCAAAAGAAGTGTTATATGTATATAAAATGTCACCTAATACCCTTCACAATTAATGAAGTCAGTTATTTGTGGGCTCTTTGCAAACTCATTAATAGCATACAGAAAGTGCATGCCAGAGTCAATGTATAGTATGTACACTTAGTTTGAAAACCCATTTTTTAAAAAATGCATGTACAAAAGCACATACTTCTGATCAATTTTCATCAAATATCCATGTCCTGATAATTCCTATCCTCCAAATACAAATGAAGAGCAAATGTTTCTCTGCTTTGATGTTAATGTTGTGCCTTCTTTGACCATTGTGATAAGCATCATATAAGAATACCTGTGACAAGTTTAAAAATACTTTTTTGTAAGTCGCATATAGTTATTTGACATTTGTACAATCTTAATATAATGTATAACAAATAAACTCTCCAAAAATGACCTCCTTAGACACAAACTTAACTGGGTTAGAGTTTATGAAGCAATATTAAGAAAAATAAAATGAAGTTGAAATAGTAATATCTACTGAAATAAATTTTCTTCAAACTAAATTGAATAAGAGTTAATTAAAAGTTAAATATTGGGAATCCAGCATGGGACTTATCAAGACCCCCTGAATCTAGGTGTCAGTGAGGAGGCCTAGGGAATCTATTGAGCCTTGGGCAGCAGATCAGTACCCATCCCAAGTATACACACGGACTTTGGACTCCCATAGAACAATGTGAGGTGCACTCTCACCCTGAACTCTTGGGGAAGGGTCTAGGCCCTGCCCTATATGAAATGACAGACTATGGACACCCCCATGGAGGGCCTCACGCTCCCTGTGGGAATGAGAGGATAATGGGGGGGTGGGGGGAGGGCACAGGAGGAGGGGAGGGAATGGGAGAGGGACCTGGAACTGACTTGTGAAGCAACCTCGTTTCTTATCTAAATTTAAACTGGAAAATAAAATATAAAAAAGTTAAATATTAAAAAATTCCATAGAAGACTTCCCAATTTCAAACTCTGGTCATAATTTTATGCCATATACAGTCCTCCATGTATCTGTGTAAAATACAGTGAGGATTATGGAGGACTATTAACAGGTATAATTGATAGTTTCACTCAACATTTTCAGGATCAGCTATAAGCTGAACATTTTTCCATTAGCTGTGGGTAAAGAGTTTTGTGATTGCCTCTTCGGATGCCCCCTAATTCTCTGAGTTATAATATAAAATACATTTCACCAGTTACCTCCTACACCTAACATTTAAATTCAGCTTTTTAGCAATAAAGAAAAAAACTACTTAAGTTAGAGAGGTGTTAAGTGGATCATAACTAAAAGCATATAATTTACATCAAGCAGAGAGTACAATTTAAGTGCAAAAAAATGTGTTTTCCTAAGACTATATCTGTTAGTGCTACTTGTAAAACTGAAAGTCTATCTAATCTCTGAGGCCAAGTGAGTACATCCACAATAGGCAATT